CTCTGCTGCATCTGGAGCTATAAGCATGAGAAGTGCAAAAACAAGAAGAAGAAGTTGCTTCCTCTTCATCTTTGGCATGTGATTGTTTTAATTTGCATGGGAGCATAGGAAAGCATGCAGAACTACATTTATATATATAACTGAGTTCACTTATTCATAAATTAATCATAACGTAGTTTGAAAAGTATGGATTATCATCCAAAACATGTCTGGGAATCCAATGCTGTATATATGCAGAGTCAAGCTAATAAGCAGTTGGTCAATTGTCATTGTATGTTGACTTCTCATCCATTATTGTGGTGACCATATCATAATTATACATAAAGTGTACTGCATTGTCATTAATTACCAAGAGATTTGAATTAAATTAACTAAAAACTTAGAAAAATATGTTCTATAAATCAAAAAAGGCCGCTGCAGCTCTTTCAAGAAGTACAGTATTTGCAAGAGAAAAAGGTGCCTAAAGTGGAGCATGTCTTGTAAGGGACAAGAATTTTCACCATAGCAATGATGGTTCTTGCCTCCGTTGACCCCCAATGAGACAATTTATAATGAATTCGAACCGTTAATATGGACATGATTTTTCTGTCTGGATTATATGGTTGGTTTTGATTATATTCTGATTTAGCTTTTTCCTATTCAAAGTTGGTTGGCTGTTTTGCTTTGGGTTCCTGTTATGCTTGTGGTTGAGTTGAACTTGTCCTAATTCTCAAGTCCAAGCCAGGTCAAGTATTGGTGTGGCCTACAACTGCAGGCACCCCCTTAGCTAGCCTCAAATATAGACATGTAAGCTGATTAAGTTTACAAATTTTCTGAGAATTTGGGGTAGTTGCAGCTAGTGATTCATTACAAGCTCACAATGCTATCTCCTCTCAAATGTTAGAAGATATCTCAAGTTCAAATCTTTCGTCCGTCAAAGAAAATTTTCAGACTCCCTCCATCAAAACAAAGAAAGCCGGCCATATTATATGGACACCCTTTCAACCATTCATTTTTCTCCTAAGGTCGTTCTCAAACACTACCTATTGGTTGGCATAGTGGGTTGGGTTACTATGGAATCTGGATTCTCTCTTTCAAGGATTGGCACAGGCTAAGAAAGAAACAAGATCCTCCACTTTCCTTGAGCAGAAAAGGAGGCCTTACCAGATACGACCATATCTTTTATATTTGCCAAACTACAAGTCTACAAGTTGTGAAGTCAATCCAATTACAATAAGGCCCTTAACTCTAACAAGTGCCTTTTGTTTGATGCTCCATTGTTCAGAAGATTGCAAGTCCAAATGAGTTATATAATGTTGTTCTAACTTTTCCTCCTCCTTTACCTACTGAAGGGAGAACAAAAAAAAAAGTACCAATCAGAATAAAGTGATGCTCACATTGCAATTCTTCGATCTCCCACCGCACTTTGTGTGCTAGGTGCTACCATAGGCTTCTCTTTGCTCATTCAATGGTGCTACCATAGGCTATTCTTCAATATGAAAGCTAATACAGATTGACAATTGAACTAAGCAATTATGAATTATATAACTTTTTTTATACTAGTGATATTGGAGGAGGGGAATTTCCTCACACACATGTTGTCAAGGTACCATGGGGGTTCGAACTTGAGATCACTGATATGCAAGTCAAGTCCATTTTCACTAGAGTAGACCTCGTTGGCATGAATTACAGAACTTAGAACTGAAGTTGATAGACTAAAGTCAAAGCATTTTAAAAGAGTTTTTCTATTTAAACCCCACATTTTTCTTTGTTCACCTCAATACTTAAATCATTAGGCCCTTAAGTTTTATTATTGTGTAAAAGACAAAAAAGGTCATCCAACTTAATACTTAACCCTAGTACATCTATACACACACCCCCACACACCCCACCACTCTTCATATTGAGTTCTTGAAAAACACAAACTCCTCTGCACCCTATTGCCAAATTACTCTTCTCTTTCAATCCAAGAAACCTATTACACTCTCATCTTCTCTTCACAAACCCTAAATTGGGATTGTGAGAGTAATATAGATGGATAGGGATGGAGTGGATATTACAAATTCCCCTGGCTTTGTGTTCCTTCCTCACCTCTCTCTTTCTCCTCCTCCTTTTCTTTTATTAACAGATTTCTTCCATGCTTGTGCTTGTTGTTTTTATTTATCTCCTAAATTGACATAATGCCCTCAATAATATAAACGCAGTGTTCACTGCATCCATGTACAACATATATATAATAAGAAAATATACATCAAAATACCATATACCATATCCGTTTTCCAGAGCAGAACAAAATTCTTGATGAAGAACGACTACACTTGTAAGCTATTACTTGTAAAATATTTATCACACTATGTTACATTGAAAAATTATAGAACCTGTTCTACAAAAAAATAATATTCGGGTGCAAAAGAATAATGATGCAAAATGCTGGTATGAAACTGAAGATTTTAGGATTCGAGTGTGGGGTGTGAGGTTGATGAGTTTTTTTTTTTTTTATAATTTTTTTTTTCTGATGGTGTGTATTTAGGGATAGTTTGGGAAGATAGTGGGGTTTTCTTAGAAATTGTAAAAATTTAAATTAGAAGTTGAGGTGAACCAAAAAAAGTGCAGGATTTAAATAGAAAAACTCTTTAAAAAAGGGACATTGCGTTTCCATTGTTATGGCTCTCTTGTTTATAAAGGTCTTGACTGTATGCATTAGTGGCCCAAATTATCTTTAGGACTCTAACTAGACTTGATCTTCATAGTTGTTTGATGTCTTTCGACCATTGACCTCTTATGTATTAGGACTTTGCTTGGCATGAGCTCTTTTCCATTATACATTCTAAACCCTAGGTATTTAATTTATTTTTTGAGAAAATCGGGTGTAGTATCGTATCTCTTATATTATTAAGAAAACTCATCTCATGTGTCTTTATTTTAAGTATACATTTTCTTGCTTATAACAAATGTAATATTAAACTTACAAATTACGAGTAAAATCAGAGAAATTTTTATATGTTTCGGCTACATCACGTGATTGCTGTACCATTCAATACACATAGAACATGTGAAATAATTCTCCAACTTATTACATTGTTTTTTATGACATGTGGTTAGTTGTATTGGAAATATTCCAAATATCCTACGTCTATTTGATAGTACACCAGTCATGTGGTGTACCAGGAACACCCAAAAATTACTCGTAAAATCATTTATTTATATAAATGATAGTCTAAACTATTAATGACATGTTTACTAGGAATTGAATTGAGGAGGAGTTGGATTCAGGCGAATTAGATTCTGGATTCCTATTGAATTTGTTTACTAACCATATGGATTGAGGAGAGTTAGATTCCAAATTCCTATTGAAGTTGTTTACTAAATCATATGGAATTAGGGTAAAAGTGGTGCTAATTACTAAAATGTCCTCGTTGTTGGATTAAAGTAGATGGCAAATTTGGAATATTTAAAATTGTGTGAAGATATAATTGGTAAAAAATATGAATTCCTAATGAGTTAATTTTACAGGGATTAGAATACCACCTCCCACCCAAGAATTGAATTCCTCTAAAATCAGGAATTCAATTCCTAATTTTGTGTGGGTCCAACTTACCTTTTAATCCATAATGCTTCATTTGGATGAAGGAATTGCAAATTACATAGAATTCTAAAATGACGGAATTTAGATTTCCATCATTTCAATTTCTGGCAATTGAAGATTTCAGTGTTTGGATTTATGTATGTCGAATTTTATAAATGACAGAAATTTAAAATTTCAATGTTTGGATAGCTCATGTAAATTGTAAATGACAGAACTTAAATATTTCGATATCTTGGTCTTTCTTCCGCCGACACTGTTACCGGAATGTGAGTTCCATCAAGTGCCCTAAGACAATTCTAAACATGAAATATAAAACAGTATAAGTATGAAACTTAAGATAACTAGTTGGAAAATAAAATAATTTTTTTTTTCTAGTTATATAAGTACCTCAAATCACTGCCATTTGCTTCTTTCAGAACTCCCAATAGTACTTGGCTGGAATTTTACGTATTCTTCACTATTTCTCATCATGGCATATAAGACTCTGTTACATTGCCGACTAATTGTTTCGATTGAATGGTAATAGTCAAAACCAATGACTCTGTATTTCAAATTGTGAGCAATTATTTTCAACAATATTGCTACATATTCTTCAATTGAAATATTTCTTGTTCGAACCAACCCACCATTATTTTCTTCTAAAATTCTACATAACTTTTTTAATGCATTTTTGCTAATTTGGAATTGATCAATACAATCAACTTCTTTTCCATTGTACATATGGTTCAAATAAGATCATATTTCTTCATCCCAATCATGTGAAATCTCTTTAATACGAAAATTATCATAATACCATTGTACTAGAGTAACCATAAAAAAGATCATTGTACAAACAATAATTGTGAAATGAATTTTGGTGTTGATTTTTTTTTTTTAAAGATGAAAAGTTTGGCATTGTTTTTCTTATGTAAGTTTTGGCACATGGAAAATATGAATTCCCGCACAATAGAAATTGTGAAATGACGCCTATTTTGGTGGAAATTAAACTCGGGAATTTGATGCCTCAATTTCCACGATTTTTCCCGTGCGTCATTTAACAAATTATGCGCTTAAGTTGCCAAACAAGAGAATTGTCAATTTCTCCTCTTAAATTCCCGACTTTTAGCTAAATTCCGAGTTATTTTCCCTCATCCAAACAGAGGGTAATTGAAATTCAATTTCTGATTAGTGAATACACCATAAATTAATTTAATTTATAAGAAGATAAATTCAAATTTGGGTGAAAAAAAACATATTTACTGCTCAAACCAACTGATTTATCTACCTAAGTAATTTTAGTAGACAAATAGGTTCGTATTGCCATCACAAAATTACAACTTACAATGTAAGAAGTGGCATTGGTAAAAGTGTTGACTAAAATTGTTGGGTTGTCTAATAAAATAAAAATTTGTTGGGTTGATTATTTATTTATTTATCGTATAAGTTATTATTCGATTGATTCGAAACAGAAAGTTGAGCGAAAATTAAAAATTCGGTGCTCTCTAATCTCTATATAAAACCCAAACTCAAAAGCAGCCAAGCCATCCTCTCTCTCTCTCTCTCTGCGTTTTCCATGGCTACGCAACCTGCGTCCCAAGCCAGCCTCCTCCTCCAGAAGCAGCTCAAAGGTCACACCATAATCTAAAATTTTCTTTTTCTTTTTATTTTTCACCGTTTTTGGCAATTGGATTCATTTTGGATTTGAACCATATATACTGATTGAAATTTACACTCTGTTTTTTTTTAAAGAAAACAAGTTTAAATTTTTATTTATTTATGCAGATCTCTGCAAACACCCAGTGGATGGATTCTCGGCTGGTTTGGTCGTTGAAGAAAACATCTTTGAATGGAACGTCACAATTATTGGCCCACCCGATACTCTCTAGTATGTAACCCGATTTCGTTTGTTTTTTTTCCTTTCTTTGAAACATGGCTTTCATTATAATCAAATTCCGAGCTTTGTGTTTCTGTGCATGTTTGTGTTTCTTTAACATGCTGATTTCTTTTTCATACGACTATATGGGCTTGTTTGAATTCATATGTGTAGTTTTGCTCTATCATATCCGGGATTCCGGGTTCTGATTATTAATGGGGCTGGTCACAAAATTCACATATTTTACTGTGGTTCTTAGTTTTTGGGCAGACCTATAAGCCATTTTCATGCATTCTTTGAACCCAAAAAAAAGTTTTGGATATTTGGTTTATCATAATTCCTCTGCTGCAGTGAGGGTGGTTTCTTTAATGCCGTCATGAGCTTCCCTGAGGATTACCCGAACAACCCTCCTACAGTACGGTTTACCTCAGAGATGTGGCACCCTAATGGTAACTACCGTATTTTGTATATTGTTTCTGAATTGAATTTTCTATATTGCTTCTTCCCTCTAGTTGATCCTGGTCATGCTTCCTGAAAGTTTCTATATATTGCAGTTTACCCTGATGGGAAGGTTTGTATTTCAATTCTTCATCCCCCTGGTGACGATCCAAATGGCTACGAGCTTGCAACTGAGCGCTGGAATCCAGTCCATACGGTACGGTCTTAAGATGCCAAGATGCATTATCTCATTCTGTCATTATTTATGTCTTCTGTGCATCATGCGGAATAAAAATCATGTTACTTTCTAGCTTTTATGGTTTCACTTGTTTCACTGTAGTCGTAATAGTGCAGATTTAGGGTGCAGAGTTTGCTTGCAACTGTATTACGTTTGTGATTATCTGAACTGAATCAATTCTGTAGTTTATTGTGCATTGAGCTTTCCCCTTTCCATTTAAAGTGTATAGCATTCAGTTATTAGAAGGCTAAGTGTTTGGATGAGGAATCTGTCATTCGGAGTTATGAGTTGCACATTGTTTTTGGATAAAGAGTGAAAAACTTGGAGATCTAGACATATGGTAACTGATTGAGTTTGTGTGTGTCGTTAATACACTGACTTGACCATCTGATGGCAGTTATAATTGGCAGTGCAGCTTGGTGGTGGCTAACTGTAAGGGCTGAAATGAGATCACTGCAGGACTGAATTGTACAATATCCCTGTGGATCTCAACCTAAGCCCATATTGAGGTGCTTGTTCCTAAACCCTAGCACAACTCTAGCTTAGACAAGATTGCTTGAGTTGGGTTCAGGCTGATTATTATATTGTGCAGTAATTTTTTGACCTGCATGATGCATTGGAAACTAATGCATTGCTCAATTGGCGAAGCCCTAATTATTAGTTATTCTTGTATGTACTATAGCACCATGAACCTCTTGTTAGTTTGCTTCGTGTTCCTTCATCTCAAGGAGAGATTTTATGAGATAGGACAAGCTTATACTAAGTATAGTGAAATCCATGCTTTTTGGAGGAAATTCATCTGTTCTTATTTAATTGGTCCAGAAATGACAGATTGAATGATATAGTCTGAACATCCTGTAGGTTTCAATGGGGAAAAGTGCTCAAATGAAGGGTGTAAGGGATAGCAAAGAGGGAATGCGGCATCTGGATCAAATATGATAGTTGAATTTTCCAATGATGTATTCAGTTCCTGCATGAGGATTGAGCCTCATTATTTCAACCTGATATTTAAGCCTCAACTCTTCCCTCATTTTTGGAGGTCTGTGGCTTTTTAACATTGGACTACTTAGAGTTTTAGGTGCTTATGGCAAAGTTGGGTTGAATAGTAGGATTTTAATCAATGGCACTGGTGGTGGGAACAACTCCAACTTTTACAAGGCAATGTAATCAGTTTTTTTTTTTAATTTTGAAGTGGGGATGCAAAAAGCTGAAGGTTTTGAACAGCGACTTTGGAAGGGTTGTAGGAAACAACCATTTCTACTGCCTCAAATATAGTAGTATATACTGAAGATCATGGTGAACTAGTGATGCGTTTGTTCATATATGACTGAGGGATGTGTTTAACTGAAAAGATTATTGCTATGATTATGCTATATTATCAAATGCACAGCTCACAATCAATTCTTTCCACCTAAATTTTAGAGATGCAGGACTTGATTTAACAGGTTGAAAATTGTTGATTTTTCACTTTTAACAAAGTTTGCTTTGGTTCTGGTTTACTCATACAAACCCAATGTGCCAGCCATTTTCTTATATTTTTTTATGCATCCATATTGTTCTATGAATGTAGTTACTGTGGTCCTATTGTTGAGGCTCTACTGACAAATTTGCTGTTAACCTGCAGGTTGAGAGCATTGTTTTGAGTATAATATCAATGCTTTCAAGCCCTAATGATGAATCTCCTGCGAATGTCGAAGCTGCGGTAGGTGTTCTTCCCCCCCACCCCCAATGTTCTATTTTTGTTGATTTCATTATCATTTTTTTTAAATGTCATGCAAGATGCTGGTAGCTTGCTAATCTGCTGGCACATGTTGTTGATTATGTTTTGCAGAAAGAATGGAGAGACAACAGGGATGAGTTCAAGAAGAAAGTAGGCCGCAATGTCAGAAAGTCACAAGAAATGTTATAAGTCATGCGGCCAGAAACACTTTTAAGTTTTGTTCTGTTTGAGGAACATGCTGTTTGCAACTAGATCCTTTCTTGCATCCAATGAATACGTATGTTGCTGCACCAGTTCAGGGAAAAAGATTTGGATAATTATAAGGTTGATATATTTTGATTTTTCTTCAACTCGCGCAGGTGTTGTTGACTCTTGTGAATGCTTTATGTGGTTTTTTTTATTCGTGGTACTTTGCAAAGTCAAATATGAAATCAGGATTAAATTAGTGAACTTGGAATTTTAATGTCAAATTTGGAACCCCGTCATTTGATTGACATGTTTGAAATCTTTACCTGAATGTTGACTAAACGAGAAACACTAGTGTGCAATGGTGACAACACTGTTTTGCTATTCCCGTTTCATATAAGTTTTTCTACAACTGAACATATTATGGTCGTCTCAATTACATTGAAAACAAAATTAAAAAAATATGAAGTTGGTGAGGTGCTGAAACGACTTTGAACAGTGTATACCTGCCAGTGCAACCAGTTCATCATCGTTCTGTCTGTCGCCAATTTAATAATTGTCACGGGAATTTCATCAAAGGCAAAACTGATTACATGAAATTAATAAAATCACACACATTACATATACCAGACAGTATTTGCAATGCAGAGAAAAACAGAGGAAGGAAATTCTAAAAATGATGTAACAAGGGTTGGATTGGAGTGGATTTGGATGCGAAAAGATTTTGTTTGGAAATTGTAATTGTATTGATTGGTTGCAGGGCAGGGAGGATTCTGTCATGGCATGGGTGGGTGTACAAGTAAAACTGAGTCCTGGTGCATAAGATTGTATCTCTATAGAAGAAACCCGAAAGATGTTGTGGAGAAAAAGAAATACCAAAAAGAAAAGGAAAAGCAAAGCTGAAAGCCCCCCACATTACATTACATGACCCCACACACTCTTCCTGCCTCCTCCTGCAGAGTCTCATGTCCCTGCCTTCTCCTGCTCCTCCTTCTCCCTCCTCTGTTTATTTATTATCTCTCTCTCTCTCTCCCTCTCTCTCTCTCTCTCTCTCTCTCTCTCTTGCTGTCTTTCCAACGCACACCCCTTTTTAGCTTCTCCTTCTCTCTCTCTCTCTCTCTCTCTTGCTGTCTTTCCAAAGCACACCCCTTTTTAGCTTTTCCTTGCTTTATCTCTCTCTTTCTCACACTCACACTTTCCTTCTCTCTCTTTTTTGGTTGGTCTGCTGGCTTATGAGTCTTATGTCTCCATAGCCCTCTCTCTCATATCACTCATTAGGCCTTATCTCAAATTTTCAAATTTTCCCATGGAACTCTCGCCTCATCGACCCGTGACTGTTTCAACTCTCTCCCCTCCTCATCTCATCTTCTTCTCCAAAAACCCACACTTTTTTTCCCCATGATTTTGCACTCTGAACCACTCTCCTCCGCCAACAACAACCCAACAAGGAGACCAATTCACCAACCATGCACTCTCCTCCTCAGCAGCCTCACCGGAACGGCGAGACGACGCCGTACCCGATCCCCAACCATCCCTTCCACTCCACTGTCTCGCTACGGAAGCTCAGGCGCTTCAACTACCTCATCCTCGTCTTCCGAATCGCCTCCTTCAGCTTCTCTCTCGCTTCCTTCATCTTCATGCTCTCCACTTCTCGCGGCCCCAACTCCCCTCGCTGGTACCACTTCGACGCCTTCAGGTACTACTATTTCCAATTCATTCATATTTGAAGTTCCTTAATTTCACCATCAGTTTTCTGTCTTTTTTTTTAATCTCTCACTCTGTTTGGCTGCCGAGAAATTCACTGCAATTCCGAAAGAGAAAAAAACAAAAACAGAAAAAGGTGAATTTTTTTATATAAAATGAATGGCGCCGTTTAGCTCAATTTTCAAAACATGTCCTTCGAAAAGTAAAGCTAATACTTCTTCGAAGAAAGATTCAATTTTTCTGAGTCAACATAATGATGAAACAGAATAGGAATTTGTTTTGGGATCGAGTTTGCTGCACTTTCTCAGTAGCCAAACAGGCAGACATTTTACCGGAAAATTGATTGGGAAAACCTGGACAGATTGGTAGTGGGAGCGAATGCAATAGTGGCGCTCTACTCTCTCTTCGAAATGGTGGCTTCGGTTTGGGAAATATCCAGAGGAGCCACTCTCTTCAGCGAGGTCTTACAGGTCTGGTTCGACTTCGGCCATGATCAGGTCCTTCAGAGCTACTCTCTTTTAGCATTTTAATTAATTAGTGTTTAAAAGTTAATTAAAAGGAAACTTAACGGGAGGAGACGTGATCGTGTAGGTGTTCGCGTACTTGTTGCTGTCTGCGGATTCGGCGGGAACGGCGTTGGCGAGGGTTTTGAAAGGGAGGGACACGTGTACGGCTTGGAACGCGTTCTGCATACAGGCGGACGTGGCCATCGCCCTGGGCTTTCTCGGGTTTCTGTTCCTGGGCTTTTCGTCTCTGCTCTCGGGTTTCCGGGTCGCCTGCTTCATTATCAAGGGGTCTCGTTTTCATCTTTAGAGAGAGAGAGAGAGAGAGAGGGAGTACTGCTGAGGGAATATTTGAGTGCCTCGAGGTGTTGAGTCCTTACTGTGTGGTCGTACTCTTGATTTTGAGACGGAATGACTGATGATGTGATGCGGATGTGGTGTGTTCGCCAGTGGCTGCAGCTTTTTCAATTTTCAGTGTATTTTCGCGGGTCTGTGTGTGTATAGGAGAGTCATGTATTCTTTATGCATTTCTACTCAATTTTATGGACTTCACTTGTTATTGATATGCATGATTATAGAGAGATGGTACGGTTAGTTGCTCATTGCTCATTTTACACGTTGAAGATTTCTAATCGTTGATGCATGTAAAACCTATTAGAATCCGCCATTTTCTAACCATTGATATGAGTAAAACCTATTAGAATCCACCAATGAGGGCGGTTGACTGACGATAGCAAAATTCAATTATATAGATGTTCTTTGCATAGAGAATTCATTTGAGTAAATAAAACACGATCACATTAGTAAATAAAAGTTAGGGCAAAAAATTGGTGCCGCCGTTATCATTGAATTGATTTCATTTCATCAAGTACTAATATTGAAGGTTTGAGTGGTGTTAGTTAGAGGGTCTTTTTCACTGTCCAAGACAAGATAAGAATCCATTTCACATCACAAAACATATTATTACAAAAAACTATTTATGAAAAAAAAGGGGGAAGACTTTACCATGTCAAATAGTTTCTAGACATAATCCATGTCATAAATATAGAAACTGTTAAGTACATTGTAACTTCATTAGTTTCTAGACATAATAGGAAGATGATGGTTGTGTTGAGAAGTGGCAAAAATATCAGCTACACCAGACTTCCATTTCAGCCTGTTTAGGTATGCTAACAAAATTGAAAAGCTACATTGTGTCATCTACGTTTTTCTGGGAGTGCCATAAGGTCTCTTCATTGGCACAAACAATGCCGGTTTCAGTTGCCCTCATATTTTGGGTCTGCCGTCACATAATGATAAGCAATCACCAGAAGAAATATGAGGATGCCAAGAAGGTTGGCAACAATCCCCAGCCCTTGATCGTCAATCATCTGTCAGGAAGACAAGGACAACCCAGTAAATTAGTATTATACTACAGAACTTCATATCATTTCTGCAGTGGACATATTTCATGCTTACAGCACAATCTATATCACACACCATACAAATAATTTATGAATATTGCATGTAAACAGTGCCTAGCAGCAATTATAACAAAAACGTTATCTACTGCTTTCCACAATCCTGACTCGGAAGCTGTAATTGTATTTGCTCAAATTTATGCAGTAGTCAATTGGAAAAGGTATAAAACTGCAAGGGGAAACCAACTTTGTCATGGAGATCAACCTTAGTGGATCGGTTACCCGTATGTTGCCTGAATACAAACGCAAGGTCAGGTGCGTGGGTGTGTGTGTATATGGTATACCTATGCATCTTCTAATGCCCAATTACACAAGGAATAACAGAGAAAATAAGGTCTGAGAAGGCACGCTCAGATATCAAATTTTTATTAAATAATCTCCAAAGTAATTTACCCAAATTCTAAACTAACCAGATATCTACATAAATCTTGATAGTGTACAAAGGCACTTTGCTTCATAGAAAACATCAAACCATGACCAGAGGCATCTTTACTCATTGGGAATATATTCCTCTATCAGGCCTCTTTTCGAAGAATATATTCAATCATATCATTCCTCTATTCTGCTTCCCTTTGTTGAATGTTGAATTCTATCCAGAGTGGGTTCTTTACAATCTGAATAATAATCCTCAATGTCTAGCTTAGAATGGCAAAAATAAGATCCGCTTTCAGCATCTTGTCTTGTCTTATTCACTAATTAAGATATTTTAGTACAGCATACACAACAATTCCGGGGCAGTTATTGAAAATGAGAGATGCAGTACGTAAGAAGTAAGAGAAGAACGCAGCAGTCATGTACATATTAAGTCACACCTAACACTATTTGCTACTTTCAGCACATTGCTTGTTCATAAAACTTCACCAATGAAGATGGGAATCTTCAATCACCTGGTGTGAACATATCTTTATCGTATCCAGAAAAAAGACTATCTACTCCCATCCTTAGTAAATATTCTCACTCTCTTTTATCTATAGCTAGCATCAACAAAAAAGTACCCCTTTTTTCCTGGATACCTTAATGTTGTGTCATCATTGTAGATGAAGCTAAACCATATGTGCAATGTGACATATCCATATACAGAATAACTTGGTAACCAGAATCTTCTGAACCAAACATTTATCTTCCAACCCACCAAAATATATCAGCCAAAAACAGTTCTTGTCACTTACCAGTAGCAAATTAGCAGCGTCTTTTTCCATTTTTTCTACCCAGAATAAAAACAAAACTCTAAATTGTCTTCCAGTCAGGAATTCAAATTACCCCAAAAAAAAAAAAGGAAATGTATAAAGTGGGTAGACGATCGCAGTGGGATTCGAACCCACGACCTTTAGATCCGGAGTCTAATGCGATATCCACTCCGCTATGCGATCATCAAGTACTCGATACTCCAAAACTAATGTCTTAAACAAACTTATGAATGTGAATTGATTCAGCATTTATAAAAAAAAAAACTGAAAAAGCACCAAATTGCTAGGGTTTTAAACTGACCAGTGACCACGACAGAGAAATCGAAATTCCAACTACATGCTATAAACTCGTAAACGATCTGAAAATGGGAGCTTCATATTAACGCTACGTGTATGCATACATATGATCTGCATCAGACAGAGAGAGAAAGTACCTTCGTGAAGATCAAATGCGAAGACGCCTGAAGCTGCGAACAGATCGTCAATGGCAAGACCCAACTTTGAAATGTAACCGAGATACGTAGGTGAAGCGGAAAAGAAACCGCCTTTTTATTCACCTTCTCGCTCCGACCCGAAATACCAACACAAGTCAACTTCTGGCCCGAATTGTTGGCCCATTTAAATACGGACTTATGGACCATCCAGAGCATGTTAGTATGGGCTTGCGGCCAAACTTTTATGCCTTGCTCCTGATAGACTGCCGTGGTCCATGTGGGATGTTTAATTTCAATTTTAAATTGAGTTTCTTGAATTGAATGTTGAGCATAAAGAAAAACAAATAGGGAAATTATCTGATAAATATTTAAGTTAATGATTGATTATATATTTCTAATTTCGATCATCAGATTGCAAATGTGTTGATAATTTAATATTTGCTCGGTGTTAAAAATTCACAAAAAATAAAAAGCAGCTGTGGCTGCTGGGATTCGAGCCCAGGTCTCTACGGCCACAACGTAGAATTCTTACCACTAAACTACAGCCACAAGGTTGTCCTCTAGTACAAAATTAATTATTTTATTCAAAACTCACTTTCTGGTTGTGGTCGTCCGAAGAAAAAGTCAAACGCAATGCGTTGGATCTGCCGTTGCGGATAACTCTTCTGCGTGGACGTTCACAGACTTCCCATGTACGTCACCTTGACCCTTGCAACAATTTCATCTCTTACTGTCATTGCACTTCTTACCCAATCCCACGGTCCCACCTCAAAGAGTAACTATCCCATGTTTCGCGCACCACCGACGCTAAGATAATTCCCCAGTAACAATTCTACAAAGACTATTATACTTTTAGAAATTTAAAAAAAATGTTAGTAAAAATGGTAGCAATCAAAGTCAAAGTTTAAGAATTATATGTGAGTTAGACCAATTAGTTAGCGTGTGTGTGTTTCGCCACTTTGTATCGGACTTAGTTCTCATCAACGTACATTAGAGTAATTTTCAAAGAAAATAAAAGTTTAAGAACATAAATATAAATTAATAAAATATTCACTTTTAAAAATAATTTAAAAAATCCAAGTTAAATATATCCACCGAAATTTTTTTTCTTTTATTTAAAAAAAAAGTGAGTGAAAAAAATTATAGCTCTAAAACATAAATTAGAAACACACACTTTTTAACAGAATAAGACAATAAAAAGTGATTTAAATATCCAGTTCACGGAAAAGGTAGAGCGGTAGAATTTATTTATTCTTGAAAGGCAGTTCCTCATTGGCTGCCTACCGCACATATCGTGTGGACCATCACACCGTAACTCAACCGAACGAAGTAGAGAACAACTAGAGATGAGCAGAGTCGGAAACTAGGATACGAATCGATGCATCATCCTACTGCGCGATGACGTGGCATGCAGTGATTTCTGCAAACTCCAAATCTTCGAAGCACCGTTAATTTCGGTTACATCTCGAACAAGGACATTATATATGTTTGCATTTTACATGTATTCGTGTTCGATGTTTTGTAGGAAACCTTAGAAATTTCACACCTTTGAGCCTTCACCTTCACTGCAAAGAGGAGAAAGCACCACCAGTTTTGTTTATTTTCTATAAGGTATTAATATATATCCATGTCGAGCATCATTTTTTAATTTTTTTTAATTACTCAATTTGTTTTTCTTTTTCTTCTTGTTTTTGGGTTGAAAAAAATTGTTGGGTTTGTGTGAGATTTAGATTTCAGATCTGAAAGTAATAGTGGTGTGGGGTTTTAGTTTCGTTGTAGAGAAGCTTTTGATGACTACCTACTTTTCGTGATTTTGAAGCATCGTACCTCTCTCTCTCTCTCTCTCTTCTAGTTGGTAGTTTGGTAGTAAACTAATTTTAAATTTTTTTTTCTTGGTTGTTTGATTCCGAAAGTTGATTTCTTTTTAAAATTCAATTTGACCCCGTTTGCATTCTGTATATAAATGCTCCCTCTCATTATCTCATACCACACTTGCACTTATTAACAGCTTGGGGAATTGGGGATTGCTCTCAACAGACAGGTGATCTGAACTTGATTGCTGTTCAGTTCATAATCTGAAAAAGAAAAAAGATCTTTGCTTTCTTCATCTGTTTTTCATAGTTGTTATTTGGGTTCTTGTAAATTTTTCTGCTGAATGATGGGTATTGACTGTTAAGTTTTGTCTCTATTCTGTCAAGTTTGATTTCATTTTGGAATCTGAGATTGTGTGTTGGTAGTGGGTGTATTTGATCTAAAATGTAAAAGTTTTGATTGTCTGGAGTGCAGAAGTTTAACAAATGGCTACAAATGGAGATCAGCAAGCCACCCCAAAACCCCCTCCAAGCCCCTCTCCTTTAAGAAATGCCAAGTTCTTTCAGGTAACATCTCTGGCCAAGTGGCATTATTTTTATTTTCAACTATTTTAACCAGCTTGGTCAGTTACTGATCTACCGCGTTATGTGCTGTTTTGCACCATATTTTTGTGGCAATTTATGTATATTCAAATGTTTATTCATCTGATGGCAGGCCAATATGAGAATTTTGGTTACTGGAGGAGCTGGATTCATTGGCTCTCACTTAGTGGACAAATTGATGGAAAATGAAAAGAATGAGGTAGAATTTTATTAATAATAAAAGGAATTAGAATTGACATGTCCAAGTGTTTATGCTTTACCAACATATTTGTATTTCCTGGTGTTGGTTTTCTTTTCTTCAGGTGATTGTTGCGGATAACTACTTCACTGGCTCAAAGGACAACCTGAAGAAATGGATTGGTCATCCAAGATTTGAACTTATTCGTCATGGTATGTCTTTTTAATAGGTCATGTTGGGTTGACCCATTATTAGAGAATACCTTTTACTTTAAAGATGCTTCTGTGTATTCAGTACAAAGAAGAAAAAAAATGAAGATTCTTGTGTGCGTGTGTGGAGATTGTGTATGTAGTTTTATATCCCCATTATCTTCTTAAACAATATCCTATTGCAGATGTATAAGCAAATTTTCAAGTGGTAAATATCTTTACTTTGTTTGGTAATATTATTTTTCCTTCATGCAGATGTCACAGAGCCTCTGCTAATTGAGGTTGACCAAATATACCATCTTGCCTGCCCTGCTTCTCCAATCTTCTACAAGTACAATCCTGTAAAGGTGCGTCTATGAATATTTCATGTTTATTTGAGAACAGAGTTGAATATAGTGTTAAGCTGTTTTCTCACAAGCATCCAGCAACCATGTGTACCAATATTCTTGGAGGTGGAATAATTGTCTTATGTGAACATTTCTTGTGTAACAGACAATAAAGACAAATGTCATTGGTACATTGAACATGCTGGGACTTGCCAAGCGAGTTGGAGCAAGGTTTGATAATCTTGTTCCGTCTTATTTGATATAGCCATCTGTGGATATCTTGTTCGTTTCTCATGGTCTGAAATTCATTCAGGATTTTGCTTACATCTACTTCGGAGGTGTATGGAGATCCTCTGATTCACCCCCAGACTGAGAGCTATTGGGGAAATGTGAATCCAATTGGTATGCTTTTCATCCTAGCTACTGACAACAAATACACTTGCATTACCTTTGATCTCTGGGGTAGAGTATATATTGTCTTTCTAAGGCAAAGAAAAATATGCTCTATTATCTCTTAAAACCTTTCTTTCATTGTATTCCAATTTATACCATGCCATAATGTGATCTATGGTTTCTCATTTTCATCTCTACAAATTTTAAAACAACTTTCATAGTGAAAACATGTCAATTGCACCAGCTTGTGGCACGTATTAATTGGTTTTGTGTTTGAAAACATAAAATAGGAGTTAGGAGTTGCTATGATGAGGGAAAGCGAGTTGCTGAAACATTGATGTTTGATTATCACAGGCAGCATGGGATAGGTACCTCTCCTTTCCTTTCTTCTTTTCTTATTAATTGTTTTTGTATTCCTTCAAATTGCTGTTCTTTGTTTTCTCATGCTAAATAACGGTCCTTCACAGAGATAAGGATTGCTAGGATTTTCAACACTTACGGACCTCGCATGAATATTGATGATGGTCGTGTTGTCAGTAATTTCATAGCCCAAGCTCTCCGGTAAGTTCTACTAAGCCTTAGTTTGGTTCTGTACACCTATTAGAGGCGTACAACCAGTGCAGTTTTCATTTTGCTTCCCCCGCCCATGTAATGCTAAAATCTTTGTTGCCCATTTCTGTAGTGATGATCCCTTGACTGTTCAAGCTCCTGGGACACAAACACGGAGTTTCTGTTACGTGTCTGACATGGTAAGCATGATTTTATTATTTTGATTCATGTTCTCGTGGAAAAATAAGAGGTCTTCATCAGGTGTTTATACAAATTAATCATACATTTTAATGCTTAAGGTTGATGGCCTTATTCGACTTATGCAAGGAGACAACACTGGACCGATCAACATTGGGAATCCAGGTTATCATACGAAGCCTAAGTGGTTAACGGGGAATCAATTTAACCTTGTAGTATTATTTCATGGACAATATTAACACACTTCTATTTCCAGGTGAATTTACAATGATCGAGCTTGCCGAGAATGTGAAGGAGGTAGGTTTTTGTATTTATTCTTGTTTTCTTTGTTTTTTTCAGCAAGGTATGCCAATTAATTGCAATTCTTGTCACCACCTCAACATCACCATGAAGTGTAAAAAGGTAACTGATTTCTTGATCATGTGACTTGCAGCTCATCAATCCTAAGGTAGAGATTATAATGGTTGAAAACACACCGGATGATCCTCGCCAGAGGAAGCCTGACGTCACAAAAGCAAAGGAGCTGCTGGGATGGGAACCAAAGGTTAAGTTGCGCGATGGTCTTCCTCTCATGGAGGATGATTTCCGCACAAGACTTGGTGTCCCCAAAAACAAGTGAGCGATGTAGCATAGAATGTGAGGGTGGTGGTGCATTTTTGTAAATTTGCTTGCCTCCACTGTGTGATACATCTTCATTTCATATGTTTCTCAAGTAGAAGAATAAGTGGTGTTTACTATTTTTGTTTTTTGATGGTTTTACTTGAAACGATTTGAATGGTATTTGAGTTTATATCAACAAGCTTCCTTCTTTTATAACATTTAGCTTCCTTCCTCTATTGAGATTGGTTCCTGTCTTGTTATGAAGAGTTGATATATATATATATATACAAACGCCAATGAGTAAAACTTCACTTCGCTTCTGTTGGGTACACGTTTCTGAGCGGGTGCGGGGGTACAGTTAATACCCATTTACGTAATAACCAATGGGTATGCGGGTGCCCGCCTCATCCCATACAAAAGTTTCAGGGAAAAGACCTAAAGGTGATCACAAGATGATTTAGAAAAAAAATTATCTGAAAAATGATCTGGTCATTACCATTACACAAAATGATTGTAATCCTTAACAAAATAAGTTGCAAAGAAATCTATGAACCTATACGATTTTTAGGAGAAAAATGGAAAATGGCACGAGGGGTAGATAAGACATTCGAGTATTGAATCTTTACGCTTCCACCACCCGTTTGGCTTGAGGAGGTAGCTTGTCCTTCTTGACTGTCTTTTTAGGTGCTTCAACCGCATTTTGCTCTTCCGTTGGGTTTTCAATCCTTGCAAAGATTGGTTTAGGTTGCGCCATGACCTGACCACTCTTTAGCCCACCCCACTTGGTGTCTCTCTACAGTGCAAAAGTACATGTTAGTTCATAAAAAAAAGTGCTTGGAAACCAGACATAAATACATTTATAAAAGTGTCAGAGAGATACCCAGGTAGCAGCATCAAACTGTTCCCTTGAGTAGCCAAGCTGTCCATATATTCTCCAAGATAAGCTCGGCGTGACAGGTGATAATGCAACTGCTATAATCCTCATTGCTTCTAATATTATCACAAGGTCCTGCTCCAAAAAAACAAGATTTTCATCAAACTGCATTTATACGTTGGCCATCAATTACAATGTTAAACCTTGAATTGACACACAGATTAAGTCACTCAAGTCCATTCTATGTATGCGTTCATTATTTGACCTACATTTTGGGTCCAGACTTGAACTCCTTTAACGGTCGGTGAAATGAGTGTTGAAGCAAAACAGGCTAATGACCTTATTGAAGGAAATATGCAAATACAAAACCACACGAACAGACAACCCAACACATACTTATCTATGTAATGCTAACCTTTGCAGCAGCTTCAGAAGCAGCACCCCCTTGCTTAAAGAGAGACCATGGTGCGCGCTCATCCATGTATAAATTTCCAGCATTGCTGATCTCTAGCACAGCCTCACAAGCTGATGATAGCGCGAGGTTTCCATACTGCACCCGAGCTTTTTCCACCTGTAAAAGTACGGAAAGTGTTGGGACAGCTAGGGTCAGAGGTTGCAACAGTTGCATACAGGATTTTAATGTCCCAAGAACCAAAAAATGAATCATAATTGCAAAAGGGTATCCATGGCTTGCAAAGCTAAGCCACCTCAAACATCAAGTGATTCCACTAATTTGACATGCTATTTTTTTTTGGTCGAAACTAATTTAACATGCTTGGGAAACCTGATAATGTTCGAAATATAATAAAAACTTTACCAATTTCTCCACAGTGTCCTTAAATGTAATTCCTTCAGCTGCAATACTTGAATCAACCACCAAAGTCGATTGGCAATTCTTCTTAAGAAGTCCCAGAGTACGGTTAAGCAGATTTCCTGCAAAGCAGAGACAACGTCAGTGCTCCAAAGAGAATAAAATAGAAAAGAAACTATCATTCATTAACCAACAAAGAATACTAATGAGGCGCAGAGTAGAGATACCAATTGAATTGGCAAGATGAGCATTGACAATATTGATGAAACGATCTTCCGAATAGTCCCCGTCATTTCCAAATTCCACCTCCCTGAGGAAGAAGTACCTGACCGCATCAGACCCGAATTTATGAACCAAATCATTTGGTTCAATTGTATTGCCTAGTGACTTCCCCATCTTCATGCCATCCTATAATTTTAAAAATAAAAAAGCATTGCTGCATGAAATAAAATTACATACATGAGATGAAAATTCAAAATGCCTACTACTCGCAGTACTGTTTTCGTTTTAAGTTGTATGAGCATCAATGATCTCTCTTTGCAGAGGGGTACACTTCAGCTCAGCAATTTAAATATAGAGTTCATGAGTGGAACGGAGTGCATGTAGCTAAGGCTATAAATATATAATCAATAGGACTGAACAAAATCTATGAACAACAGTTTGGATTACCATGAGTTTTGTCATTTTAACATACAAATGACATCCATATCACAATGTGTCAACTTAGCCCCATTTAGTAACATCAACTTTCTATCTACAATTAATTTCGAAAACGACCATTATAATTTCACGTGGCATCTCTCATATTGGACACAAAAGACAATGTTACACATAGCTAAATGAACACCTGCTGCAATGCCTAACAATGGATCAGAAACTCTAGCATGCCTTAGGCTTTAAATCTCCAGTCGACACGATCATTACTCAAAGTTTACAGGACTGAGAATTCATCTAGGATTCCAATACCAATAGCTCTATCTATGAGGAATTCAATCACATGAGGGAGTTACATGTACATCTATTCTCAGAAGAAACAATCATATATACTGCGCTCAAATAGCTCAAATACCTTTGTCAAGAATCCATGGCCAAACACCATCTTAGGCAGGCCTAGTCCAGCAGACATCAGCATAGCTGGCCAGTAGACTGCATGGAAACGTAAAATATCCTACAGAAGAATAAGGAAACATCAACTATCATACAGAATTCTATTATATATCCCCGGTTATATCCTCCTCCAATGTCATGCTTTGACATTGGAAGTTTGATTTAATATAACTTAATACGATAGCTTATTAAAAGGAACATACTTGTGAACTGAAAAAAGTTCACCTACAAAGTATGGAAATCACCATACCTTGCCAATCAAGTGTAGCGAGGCAGGCCACCCTGATGAAACGGCTCTTTCCAAATCAGGTTGCTCCGTATCTTCAGATAGTGCTGATATATAACTGTTAACAATATTTTGGAACATATACATCAAATAAATAATCTCCAATACGCATCTACCAAAAGAAATAGAGAAATCAGAAGTAAAGAAACATCTAGTGATAAAAGAAAGCAGATTCGCAATTAATCTTCTATCTACTTTTTATAACAGTTGTCTGAAAACTTATTTATTAGTCCATGTCCGCCATATGTTTGGACTTATAAATGACATAATGAAACCACACTATATTGAGTAGGTACTCACAGCTTAAGAAACAACATGACTATGAGTTACATGGGGGAAGAGAGATGAGAGGGAGAAAGAACTTTACCCCAGTAAAGCATCAAACCAAACATATATTGTTTGCTTGCTATCATTAGGAACAGGGATGCCCCACTCCACTAATGCTCGAGAAATGGAAAAGTCTCTTAGGCCACTTCTAATCCAACTTTGAACCTTGAGGAAAAGGAAAAACCTGTTTTAGTTATAAAATTATTCACACTCCTCAATTAATCAAATATAACTCTATGTGCACTAACAAGATGGAGTGTGAGAACACATCAAGAAACAATCATAATTGGCTTGTAGGGTAAGTACTACACATTACATTTGTAATTTCATATACAAAGAAACAATTTCAAGTTAAGTAAACCAATGTACTTTATATCTAACCTCATTAAGACGGAATGAAGGCTGTACAAAATTCGAATTTTTTGCCAAAGTTTCTTCCAACGACTTTTGATACTTGGACAATGCAAAGAAGTAATTATCCTCTTTCCGTGCAACACATGGCTTTAGGTGCGTAGGGCAACAGTTGTTATCAAGCAGTTCTTTCTCATCCTGTGCAATATTTAGAATTAATGATATGAGACCAATTATTAAGTATACAACACAAGCTACTCCTGAAAAATAGCTCAGTAGATATGTAGACATTGTATTCAAACAACATATATTAAACGGAAAGGAGCAGCAACATAATCCCCACTCAATAAGCAATCAAGTCAACTTCTTTAAATTACCCAGGGCAATGTTCCAGAATCAAAACTAACACAAGGATATATTATGTTATCAATACAAGTAATATAATAAATCCATCTAAAAAGAAAGTTTCATAAGGAATAAGCTTAAGTTATTCAAATAGAGTTGAGAGGGTTATCCAAAACTAAAAGGCATACACCCAGAAATACAAGTTTGAATGGAATAAGAGGGCACCTTATACTCCTCACAATTGACACAATAAAGTCCCTCATAGTCAGCCCTGTAAATGTCTCCATTGGCAAGAACCCTTGAGTAAAACTCCTTCACAATTGCTTCATGCTTGGGATCAGTTGTTCGAATGAATTTGTCATAAGCTATATCTAACTGCAATCACCAAATAACCCAAAAATTTTAAATTAATAAAAGTGAAAATAAGAGCAATTTGAACAATCAATTGAACGAAATTGTAAATTTCCAATGGCGGGTAAAAGAAAATACGTTTTTCCAGAGTGATATGTAAGACTGTGAAATGATGTCACAGTGTTGAGCTGGTGTGGAGGCACTATCAGCAGCTGCAGTGGCAATCTTTTCACCATGCTCATCAGTGCCAGTGATGAAGATGACCTTCTTACCCAACAGCCTCTGAAAGCGAGCAATGGCATCGGCAGCGATGGTGGTGTAAGCGCTGCCCAAATGGGGAGGGGCATTCACGTAATAAAGCGGAGTGGTGAGGACAAAAGGGTCACTGGCGGCGGCTTCATCGTGGACGGGAGTAGCGGAGGCACGCGTGCAAAACGACGTAGCTCTGGGTCTTCTTCTTGATGGCTGAAAGTGGAGGCGGGTCCTGAGATGGGTGGTGGCTTTGGAGTTGAGGGGGTTTATGGGGTTTAAGAAGAAGTTTATTCTCGCTGCGGCTGCTGCTGCTGCCGCCATTTTTGAGCGAAAAGCTTCAAAGGGTTGGTTTGTTGGGGTGAGGTGGGCTCAGTTCATGGCCAAAGCTTGGGTTTTGGAGTTGCAGGTGGATAAGATTAAAGAGGGGAAGTCAAATGATAAGCAAACCACAACGATAATCAGAGACTATCATCAGCCATGGTTCATCTTGATTTTTATAAATAAAAATAAAATTGATTTATTGATTAATATTAAAATTAAAATTAAGATATACGAAATTGAAAAGAGACGCCGTCTGTGGGAATCGAACCCACGACCACATGGTTAAAAGCCATGCGCTCTACCAGCTGAGCTAAGACGGCTGTTGTGCTTAATTGCAGTTTCTACAGTAATTGGATTGCTTAAGCATTTCGACTTTTAGCAGTTAACATTTATGAATTGGGTCATTTCAATCCCGTTTTAGGTTCCCGCCAATTGAAATTGTTAGTTTAACAACATCCAAAAACCTTATTCTGTTTTCACTTTCTCGTCCTGTCCAAAGGTATTCCTTTGTTGTAACCGAAAAAAAAGAAGAAGAAGGTATTCCTTTGGGAAATCAAACCAACTTGAGTAAGTGAAAGCAATTGGTCGAACCAAATAATATTACTGATGTAGCAACTTCTTATTTGTTGTGAATAAATAGTATTCAAAAGGGCTCCGAATGAAAACAAATGAACCACCATCATATCAGTTGATATCCAAAAATTGGTGTAATAAGTTATCTCTAAGAGCACCTCCACCCCAAAGGGCAAGGGCAAGGCAAGGTTTGACACTATTCATGTGAGTAGTGTCAGCCTTGCCTTTTTTGGTTCCACCCCAAATGACAAGGGCAATTACTATTCATTTTAATTTATTTTATATTTTTTATACTTTAACCATTAATGTTGGCATGAGAAGTGAAAAATAGGACTAGATATTTATATATATACAAATTTTGAAAATTTTGGTTTTTTTTTCGATTTTTTACAAAAAAATTTAGTTGCTGATGTCATCAATAACGTCATCAACCCTTAGCAAGATTTGCCTTTGGGCCTGCCCAGGCTTGTGGCCCCCATCAACTGCCTGGTCTTGCCTTTGTGTGATGGAGCCAAAAGCTGGGCCTAGGCCCCCTCCTGCCCGGGCAAACCAGCAGCACTGGAGGTGCTCTAATACCTACTCAAATGAAAATTGTGAAGAATTGATTATCTAAGAGCATCTCCAAGGGAGATGTCAAATACCAAACATCAAATTTGATGGTTGATGTGGCAATTTGACATCTTAGAGCATCTCCAACCGATGTGTCAAAAGTGCCACATAGACATTTAACGGCTAGAAATAACATCTCACATGATTCCAACCGATGTGAAAGCTTATGTGGAATGAAGGCTAGAGGTTGAGATGTTATTTTTGACATCCCAAAAGCAAGATGTCAAATGAATATTTTATTATTTTTTCTTTTCTTTTCTTTTTAATTAAAAATAAATCATCACTAAAATGTAATAAAATAATAATTTAATTTGACATATCGGGGGGGGTGTAAAGCTGTGTAAGAGCATCTCCAAGGGAGAGGTCAAATACCAAACATCAAATTTAAATTTGATGTTTGGTATTTGCCATCTCCCTTGGAGATGCTCTTACACAGCTTTACACTCCACCTGATATGTCAAATTAAATTATTATTTTATTACATTTTAGTGTTGATTTATTTTTAATTAAAAAGAAAAGAAAAAATAATAAAAAAATATTCATTTGACATCTTGCTTTTAGGATGTCCAAAAATAACATCTCAACCTTCAACCTTCATTCCACATCAGCTTTGACACATCGATTGGAGTGAAGTGAGATGTTATTTCTAGCTGTTAAATGTCTATGCGGCACTTTTGACACATCGGTTGGAGATGCTCTAAGGTCATGCTTATAATCTAAGTGTGATTTTCAAAACCGTACTTCTTAACCAAAATGGAGCAAATCCAGTGAAATAGAATCATCATTGTAGTAAAGCAAACTTATTATCAAACATCTCTGACATTTAGCGACATTCGTGAATCGTGGTCGCATGATATAGGTTTTTAAGTCAGCCCTAAAGACTGCATTTCAATCTGTCAAAAGCTGCAGCATACATTGAACAAATTGAAAGTTTTCATTTAGAACACATGTATCATAGTCTTCTACCAATAACCATACGTCTACATCATCTTGAACCACAAGGTTGAAAAGAACCAAGATAAAAACATTTATTAAAAGCCCTTCCACTTCTGGCCGACTGAAGCTGATCTAGATTGGGTGCAAAACATTTGCTCCTTCACCTAAAACCACAACAAATATGGACAAGATATCAATAAATTGTACACCTTGGGTAAGCACATATAGAAAAACAGCACTCTGCCCGTCATGATTGGTGGAATACAAAAACTATAGCATATATGCAAGTTTACTTCACTATAGTCAGCTGGTATGAAATAATTATGATCAGAAAGATCTCAACTCAGATTCCTACAAAGGCATCTCGCTTGCACATGTAGGTTTCTTCCCCATATGGATTTTCAAAACTAGAATAACTTGTAATGTATCGTGATCGGCAGTGAACCGTGTAAGCAGCTTAGCCAATTTGTTCATTTGTTTCAAGTTTTTATTAATAGTTTAATCAGCAGATGGTGTCAATACATAATATTGAGTACCAAACCATATATAGCACTGTACTCATGAACTCTCACTTCACTGCAGCGGATTGAACAAAAATATACCTTTTGAAGGACGTGTGGAGATAGTAATTTTCTAACATAACAACCATTTGTGGATTTTCACTTGCAAGGCATCATGGATCACTGTGAGTCATAGATAAGTGACACGATGAACAATGATGACGGGCCTCAGAAATTGTTGACTCGCAACACACTTTACATCTATAGTTCAAAAAGTAAAAGAGACCAAAACTTGTTTTCCAATATGTTAGGCCTTCATGGGAACTATCTTACTACGATTCAATTGTTTCAACACTCTATGAAACACACGGGAAAGATGAGAGAGTGTGGGAGAAGAGGGGGTAGGTAACTATTTCAAACACGAGCTCAAATAAAACTTGATTTCATGCTTTTGTTATGATGGAAACCGTAAAAACTTTGTCAAAACTTAGCCAGACATTAACAACTACGAACAGATTAATCAACTAAACGGAAATGCGAATAATTCATAGAAATCATCAGTGACTGCTGATTATGTAACTCGACCAAATGTAAGCCTGAATTCATTTAAAAGACTTTGAAACAAATTTGAGGCAAAGAAAACTATGTCTCTTCATCATGGATGGCTCACTGAAACAACTTAGAACTGGATGTAAGATACACAGTAACAAGTACCTAGATCCAATTTCCATATATGGCCCAAGACAAGAGCACCAAATATCAACACTGACCAAATACGATGTCGTTTCAGCAACTCAAACCCTATCACTAAATAATCACATTTCTTCTTTGTTAAAGAAGGGACTCACGTCAAAAATGCATATTTACAAGCAATTAAGAAAATGGGTACCAAAATTAACTAGCAGTGAGCATCGGATTTTGGATCCATTACTGGTTGAGAAATTAAGAATAATAAATCAAAGTAGGGTTGAAATTTAATTTATTAAGAGATTGGGGTTTGAGAGGCGTACTTCTTATGCCTCTGCACGAACGCAGAATTCTTAGCGTCCTCCTCTGCAAAATTTATGGCATCCCCGATACAATCAAAACAAAACACAGCTTACTGATATCTTGTGTGCGTATGTAAATATGTGTACATAATCACACAGAGAGAGAGAGAGAGAGAGAGAGAGAGAGAGAGAGAAAAAAAAAGGGAGAGGGCTTGAGTACCAGTGAGACCGAGAGAAAACTTGGTGATGAGAGTGCCGGTGATGGCAAAACCGGCCAGGAAAGGCCAATTTCGGTTCCACTCACGCTTGAAGAAGATGGGCCATGGATCGAACTTTCGCATCTTTGATTTTCTCTTCTTTTCTCTCTAACCAAACGGACGGAAGTGCTGAAACGCTACCTTGGCTTGCGAGCGTTTGTTTTGGTGCGAAGCGAAGCGAGGGTCGTCGGGGGAGGGTCGAAATGACTCTTATATCCTCATAGCTGGGTTTTTTTTTTTTGGTTTTATATACTCCGAAAATATTTATGAATTATAGCCGCGCGGCTATACTTTTAAAATATTCGAATACATTTACAACGTATAGCCGAGCAGCTATAATTTTAAAATATTCGAATATATTTACGGATGTTCTGATTTATTTAAAGGGTATAGCCGCTGTGCTATACTTTCAATCGTGATGTGGCTTTGACACCTGCAATTGGTCATTGCCAATTTTTGGAGCCTGTTCTATTTCAACACATACAATTTCTAACAAAACTCCTTTGTGGAGCTATGCTCTGCGGATCTGCAAAAAGCATGGAGGGAAGGATCGGTGTCCATCCAGCAACTTGCTAAGATACTGAAGCAAGAAGAAGGTATTGCCACCATTAGTACAATCCTCTTGGCTGCTTGTTTCCTTAAATTCAGCTCAGGCAGATAATTGTTTTTTGGTATTTCAAGTTAGTTTATATATGTGTGTGTGGGAGTGTGTACTTTACAAGAAATTATGGTATTTAGAATTTACCAGTTATATTTTCCCTGAAATTCTGCCTCATTTTGTATGGCCAGGAAGCGGTCAAGAAGATATGCAGTTGCATTGATCTATGGGTTATGTTTATATCAGCAAACATACATGATTATGATCTTCATCCATTGCTCTTTACGATCATTCAGATTCTAAATGGAGTGGGTGTCTTGTTTTATGGACCCAGATATTTGCCTTTAAGAATCAAATGCATTCAATGGTTGAATCATCTCTCCTCTTCCACTGGCATTTTCATTCCTGTTGCCTCCTTGGTGTTGGATATTCTGGAATATAAAATTGGCAAGGATGTCGGGAAACCTGGAAAAGACACCAATATTTTATGTTCTGTAAAGGTCAGGGATTAGTAACTTAGGGGCCTAATAGCATGTAAAGAATATAGCCGGCTATACTATTTATAAAAAACCGACCCAGTAACGCTGCGGCTATTTTTTTTTTAAACAAAAATATCCCCAGTGTAGCTGTGCGGCTATACGATTTTAAATTAAAAATAGAGGATCCGCATGGCGCCCGCTTCACCACGTGTCCAAAAAGGCATAGCCGCGCGG